GATCCACCCGACCTTCAAACCGCCATGTATTTGGCCCAGGCATTCGAGCGTCGCGCGGCGGCCATGCCTCCTGCGCCTCTACAGCGGGGCGACCGACCTCCTCAGTGGCCTGGCTTTCCCCGCGCGTGCCAGGCGCGGGTGCTCCTCCAGCTGGAGCTCCTGTGCCCCCAGTGGGCGGACCAGCAGCGGTGAACGGGGCGCCCCTGGTGCGCCAGTTCCATCGCCTCACGCCAGCCGAGCAACTGGAGCGGCGTCGACAAGGGCTTTGCTTCAACTGTGATGAGCCCTACGTCCGCGGCCATGTGTGCCCACGGCTCTTCTACCTCGAGTCTGACGACTACATCGACGATGGGCTGGGGGATGCCGCGGCGATGGATGACGTCGCCAACCCCGAGGCTCCGAACGCCGAGGAGCCTGCGGCCGCTAATGCTCTTGTGGTCTCTCTACACGCACTTGCAGGGATCCGCACGAACAATACGATGCTACTCCCGGTGATGGTTAAAGGTGAGCGGCTGTTGGCGCTACTCAACACCGGCTCCACGCACAACTTCCTCCATGGCACGACGATGCGCCGCCTAGGGCTCGCCCTGATGGGCGGTGAGCGGCTCCGTGTCACCGTGGCCAACGGTGACCGGCTACCTTACGAGGGCATTGCTCGCCACGTGCACATCCACATCAGCTCGGAGTCCTTTTCCATCACGTGCATCGGATTGGACTTGGGCTGCTTCGACTTCATCCTCGGCGTCGACTACCTACGGACCTTGGGTCCCATCTTGTGGGATTTCGAGGCCATGACGCTGTCCTTCTGGCGTGAGGGAAGACGCGTCCTTTGGCAGGGCGTGCGTAGCCCTGATGCGGTGGTCCCACAGCAGCACCTCGCTGCACTCTCCGCCGATGCCCAGCAGCCGCTGATGGACTTGCTGCTGCAGCAGCAGAGCACCGTCTTCGACGAGCCCACGGGGCTCCCACCGGTGCGCCTGTATGACCACCGCATCCACCTACTGCCTGGCACCACCCCGGTCGCGGTGTGCCCGTACCGCTACCCCCAGCTATAGAAGGACGAGCTGGAACGACAGTGTGCGGCCATGCTCGCCCAGGGCATCATCCGGCCGAGCACCTCTCCGTTCTCCACACCTGTCTTGCTGGTATGGAAGGCAGACAAGTCTTGGCGCTTCTGCATCGACTACCGCGCCCTCAACGCCAAGACTTCTAAGGACAAGTTCCCGATTCTAGTGTGGATGAGCTGCTTGACGAGCTCCATGGCGCTCGCTTCTTCACCAAGCTCGATCTGCACTCCGGGTATCATCAGGTGCGGATGCATCCCGACGACATCGCCAAGACCGCCTTCCGCACGCATCACGGCCACTACGAGTTCCTAGTGATGCCGTTTGGGCTCTCCAATGCCCCAGCAACCTTCCAGGCCTTGATGAACGATGTGCTCCGACCCTACCTACGGAGGTTCGTGCTGGTATTTTTCGACGATATTTTGATCTACAGCTTGTCGTGGGCCGAGCACCTGTAGCACGTCAACATCGTCCTCAATGCGCTGTGGGCACATCATCTTCACCTGAAGCGCTCCAAGTGCTCATTTGGGGCGACATCGGTGGCCTATCTAGGCCATGTGATCTTCGAGGGCGGCGTCACCATGGGCGACATCCGTGGCTGCATGGCCGACTCCATGCTCCGCCTGAGGCATCCGCGGCTTCTTGGGCCTCGCGGGCTACTACCGTAAGTTCATCCGGGACTTCAGCCTCATTGCAGCATCGCTCACGCGTCTCTTATGGCGAGACACGTTCACATGGGACGACGACGCAGCAGCAACATTCGAGGCGCTCAAGAGCGCCTTGACCACAGGGCCCGTTCTCCAGATGTCGGACTTCGCCACGACCTTTGTCGTGGACTGCGACGCGTCGAGTGCGGGGTTCAGCGCTGTCCTACATCAGGGCGCAGGACCCCTCGCCTACTTCAGCAGGCCCTTTGCTGCCCGGCACTTGAAGCTTGCAGCGTATGAGCGGGAGCTGATCGGCCTGGTGCAGGCAGTGCGCCATTGGCTCCCATACTTGTGGGGGCGGCATTTTCTGGTTCGTACTGACCACTACAACCTCAAATTCTTGCTTGATTAGCGCCTGTCCACCATTCCGCAACACCAATGGATCAGCAAGCTCTTCGGCTTCGACTTCTCTGTGGAGTACCGCCTGGGCCGTCTGAACACCGTGGCGAACGCTCTGTCTCGCCGGGACGTAGAGGAGGAGCCTACGACCACCATGGAGGGGTGACTGTAGCTGTTCATGCCCTATCTGGGCCGACCTTCACCCTCCTGGATGACATCAGGCGGGCAACAGCGACCGCGCCCGATGGCCAGCAACTCCTCCAGCAGCTCCAGGCCGGCGAGCTCTCGGAGCCATGGCACCTCGACGACGGGCTCCTTCTCCATGGGTCCCGCATCTTTGTACCGGACCATGGGGACCTGCGCCACCAGGTGTTCCTCCTGGCGCACTCGGCTGGCCACGAGGGAGTCCAGAAAACCCTCCACCACCTCCGCGCCGATTTCTACATTCCATGGGATCGCGTGTTGGTTCAAGATTGGGTGCGTTCTTGCACCACCTGCCAGAAGTACAAGACAGAGACGTTGCAACCGGTGGGGCTGCTGTAGCCCCTCGAGGTGCCATCCCAAGTATGGGCCGACATCTCGATGGACTTCATCGAGGGGCTGCCCAAGGTCGGTGGCAAGTCCGTCATTCTCACCGTGGTGGATCGATTCTCCAAGTACGCTCACTTCATCGCGCTCGGCCACCCCTACACAGCCACGACCGTCGCTCGGGCCTTCTTCGACGGCATTGTCCGCCTTCATGGGTTCCCGCTGTCCATTGTCAGTGACCGGGACCCCATGTTTACCGGGCACGTGTGGCGGGATCTCTTCCGGATGGCCAACGTTAAACTCCGCATGAGTACGGCGTTCCACCCGTAGATGGATGGCCAATCTGAGGTGGTCAACAAGGTCATCACCATGTACTTGCGCTGTGTGACGGGCGATCGCTCGCGTGCATGGGTGGACTGGCTCTCGTGGGCGGAGTATTGCTATAATACCTCCTTCCACACCGCCCTGCGCGCTACTCCCTTCGAGGTCGTCTACGGTCGGCCTCCTCCACCAATGTTGCCCTACACGCCAGGGACGGCGCGTACGGAAGCTGCTGATGCTCTTCTACGATCTCGGGATGAGGTCCTGGCAGAGGTTCGCCAACGTCTTTTGTAGGCCCAGTAGCTGTCCAAGAGGTATTATGAAGCAGGGCATCGCGATGTGGAGTTCCAAGTGGGTGATTGGGTCTGGCTGCGGTTGCTGCACCGCACGGCGCAATCCCTCGAGCCGGGCGCCAAGGGCAAGCTCGGTCCCCGCTACGCAGGGCCGTTCCGCGTCCTGGAACGCATTGGCCGGGTGGCGTACCGTCTGCAGCTGCCGGAGGGTGCTCGTTTACATGATGTCTTCCACGTGGGCTTGCTCAACCGCCACAAAGGGGACCCTCCAGCAGCGATGGGCGTCCTTGAGCCGACCCTGGACGGTCGGCTGCTGCCAGCTCCTGCCAAGGCGTTCCGGGCTCAACAACGCCGGGGTGCCTGGCAAGTACTCATCCAGTGGCGTGGCTTCTCCGAGGAGGATGCAACATGGGAGCCCGTCGACGAGTTCCGCACCCTCTACCCTGACTTCCAGCTTGAGGACGAGCTATTTGCGCAGGCGGGGAGAGATGTTATGACCGGCATCCAGTATACAAGGCGTAGGCCCATTAGTGGCTAGGGGCTGCCGGCCAGGGGGGCCTAAAAGCCCATAGTTATTTTATTTAGTCCTATTATTAGAGAGAAGTATAAATACTTGTAAAGACTTTGAGATTGGATTAAGCAGAAACAGAGTTGTTTCCGGCTTCCTGAAGGGAGCCAGGATTTCCTAACCCTAGCCGCCTCCTGCTGTGTCGCGCGCCTCCTCCTCCTTCACACGCGCGACCACGGCACCTCGGCGCTGTTAGTCGTGCTTCAAGCCTTGTCCTCCGATCTCCCACGACTACAACTTGCGATCCGTCAGGGGCAGGCCTGCTGTTCCTATCACTATGCCTTTTGATTAGAGAAGCGAGACAGTGGGCATATTGCCAACATCTATTTGCTAAGAATTAGGCAGATGTCCTACCCTCCTTTTATCTCATTTTATATTTACGCATGAAACTTATGGTGAAGTTAGCACGAAGAATGCCTTTGGTTAAAGAAAATTCATTTGTGCTGTTAATAAATTCGATTTTGGATTTATGTCATTGATTATACTGGTATGTTGTGATTAGACTTGAGAGCTACTAAATCAAACTTCTCTAACTTTGACCAAGTTTATAGAAAAATGCATCAACATCTGCAACATCAAAAAAAAAATTATTGCATTTTCCATGAAATGTCTTTGTGTCTTTATTTGAATTTGTAGATGTTAACATATTTTTCTAAAAGCTCGTTCATAGTTGGAGCAGTTTGATATAAGACAATGCCGAAGTGAACTGTAATTTGGAATGGAGGGAGTAAGCGGATGCCCTCCAGCCTTCATCTGAATTTAGGACTTTTGAAGACAATATCAAATTTAGAGCTGTAATAAAACAATGAATATGCCGATCAGTCAAGTGTTGGAACAGTTGTCAAATATTTGAAATTGGATCCCCCCCCCCCACCCCCAAATGTAGGAGCATTTAATTGATTATGTTTTTGCGGTTTGCATTCTTTTTTGGGTTTTCATGAATTTCTTATCCACTCTCTTTTCATGGTGATTCTAGAGTCTAAACAATTATCGATATGCACAAGTGCTTGGCTTGGCTTTTACCATACAGCTTAAGTTTATCTGGATTCTTACAGAATAATTATTGCAAAATAATAAAGTTGAACCTCTTGTATCTGTTGTCTAGATGGTTGCTCGTTTGAATTCACTGGATTGTGAAATTATAAATGATGACTCAAGATTCACATCTGAAGCTGGACAAATGAAAGATGAGTTGGAGAAAAAGAAGAATAGTTTGATTTCTCTTGAAAAGGAGGCAGATGATTTTTTTAAGGTACTTCTGACCTTTTGTTTTGTTAATACTTAAAATACATTCCTTTATTAGTTTAGCACATTGGAGTAAGACAATTCAAACGAAATTTGATTTGATAGATATCGGAGAAGAGGCTCCAAGATGCAACACTTAAAGCTGACGAAGATACTGAGGCGGCTGCTAAGGATCTGCTGGAGCTTCTTGATTCCATGGCTGAATATAAAGAGTTTATGGAAACAACAATTGCTCAGAGGAGGAAGGAACTCTATGAAACTGCTGATTATATAGCAGGCCTGTTCGCTGGAACTTCTTAGTAGCCAAAAACAGCCATTGTACTACAGTGCTAGCAGAGAGAGCACAGCTGCTGTAGCTGCAAATAAGCTCCAGTACTTGCTAGCGTCTTTGGCATCTAAGACAGTCATCACCCAAGTGCTCAAAGGAAAGTAGAAAAGTACTTGATTAATACTTTACACTTGTTCTCTTTCTATATACTTGTTGTAGTAGTATCTTGGTTATAGCTACTGTAAGAGGTGGAAGTGATTGTAGCAACAACATGTATTCCTCGACCAGGGTTCAAAATTTACGCAAATATTTGTGAATTTCGGTAATTTCATGGGTAGTAGTCTAATGCATACACTTTATTGTAAATATATAACTCTAGACCCATATTTTATATTGTTTATGTTGCATATTCTTCTACTAAATAGACGTGTAATAAAAAATTATGCTAATATTTTGTTTAGATCTAAATATATAACTCTGTACTCATTTTTTATTAGGCCTTATGAAGGTCAAAGATCACTTTCTGAATCTTTCTAGTGTTAAATCTTCAGTGACACCCAAATCAGGTCATGGGAGAATGAGTGGCTTCGAAACTTTACTGTCAAACGACACCACCTTCCTTATATTAAGTTACGAGAAAAATCACATTTCATTTGCTCATGTCCTCAACCATACACCTTTTAATATAACTTTTTAGAGAATGTTAGTGGGCACATATTACTTAAATGGAATGAATTGGTTAGAAAGGTGTATGGTTGACAGTAAAGTTTTTGCGATATCATTCTCCCATTCTTGTTAATATAACTTTTTAGAGAATGTTAGTGGGCACATATTACTTAAATGGAATGAATTGGTTAGAAAGGTGTATGGTTGACAGTAAAGTTTTTGCAATATTGTTTTTGCAATATCATTCTCCCATTCTTGTTAAAATTAAAATCGAGATGACATATTGTTTTTGCAATAAGAAAACAATCCAACACCTATTTTTTTAATTGTCTCACAAGATTTATTTGGAGAGTCCTTCAAACCACATTTGGTTTAGTGCCACCAAGTAATATGACAAGTTTTGTAGGATTCTGGCTTCACCTAGCAGACTAAGAAATATGAATTCAAATTAGAGTGAAAGCGAGTGCAATTTTTTTGGTCTATGTGGTTTAGTATAAATGATGGAGGCAGTTAACATGTGACGGGGCGCACGGTCATGAAGCGTGTGACCCCTCCCGCCGCCGCCTCGCACCACCGCTCACAGCCGTCCGCGATTCACCGTCTTGCCACCCTCCGACCTTGCCCTCCGCTAATCCGTTGGCTCCGTCAAGCCTCCTCTGCCCTTGCTCTGCCCTAACCGCTGCTTCCACCTCCACGGTCGGCGGTGCTCCACCTCCTCACCTCCTCGCCGCCCCCGCCCACCCACCGCCGGACTAGCCTACTGGCAGGGATAAACGACGTGGTCTGTGACAAAAATAGATGTACCGATCACCATCCTCCAAAAGCAATATCTGGTAGGCTAAGTTTGAGGTGGGCATGTCATGTGTCGAGACAGTGATAACTGAGATTTTCGCCGAGCGCTGATAGCGTCATCTTATAATTCTTTTTTGAAAATAGATTCTCGTCTAATAATAGGCTTTAACGATTAGATTGCCCGTCTTGGTTTTTCTAATTGCTTTTCGAGTCTTGCTTTAAACAGCCAAAGGTTACGCATAGACAAGAATAAAATGTTTTTTTTTCTCTAAAAAAGAAATGCTATAGAAGCTGATCAAGAATCGAACAGTAAAGATCAGGAAGCTAATTGAATTTGTCGACATCATGATCATCATGATCATTATCATCAGAACACGCAGTTTCGATCTAGCGACCGGCATGCTCTACCTATGTCGCAGGGAATCAAGTCCGATTCGTACTTGAAAATTTCTTGTATGCATACGTGCTTCACTTGGACTTCAGCCATCTTTCCCTTCCGTAAATCATACCTGCAATCCGAGTCAAACACATTATTGGATTATGAATGAAAATTCAATAACTAATGTCGATCGTCATGCAGCGCTACTAGTTGATTACCACATGACTCTGCAGAAGCTATGCAAGAAGGCGACATCGGAGGAGTGGAGGTCACTGAGGATCACCGCCGGCCCTTCCTTCGCGTGGAGGCTCTTCAAGCTCACCGTCATCTTCTTCCTCCATCTCCCTTCTCCATAGTTCGCCATCTCCCACACCTCCAGCACCTCCTCGTCCACAGCGGCGTCCGTGAGCACCAGCAAGCACAGCCTCCCTTCCACGGCGGCGATCCGCTTGCGCGCCCACGGGTCGTCCATCTCGTCCACGTCCCTTGGCAGCGGGATGAGCCGCCACGCCTCGGCCCTGACGTCGAACGCGAACACGTCCTGCGCGCCCGTGAGGCGGTCGGGCCAGCGGAGCCAGTGCATGGCGCCGTGCGCGCGCACGGCGGGCGCCGCGGGGCGGAAGAGCGAGACCGGGCAGAGCGGCACGTCCGGGGCGCGGCGCCACGCGAACCGCCGCGAGTCGAACACCTCGCAGCGCAGCCGGTCCCGCAGCGCCGGGACCGAGAACCGGACGACCTTGAACTCCGCCGCGGTGCTGGAGGCGGAAGGCGAGGGCCGGGCCACCATGGCGACCGCGGCCGTGCGGAACCGCACCCGCGGGCTCGGCAGCGCCCGCCACTGCCGCGTGGCCGGCTTGCACACGTAGTAGCAGGGCGGCCGCGCCGTGTCGGCCTCGACGCAGCACGCGAGGCCCCGGTGGGCGGACACGGCCTCCACGCGGACGTGCGCGGACGGCAGGAAGTCGAGCGAGATCGCCTTCGGCGTCGGAGAGCCGTGCATGGAGACGAAGTCGGCGTGGTAGAGGTTGTGGGTCATGCTCTGGACGAGGTAACCCGACACGGCGGCGGCGCGGCGGCAGTGCAGCGGCGCGAACGCCGGCTCGTAGGTGAGCCTGCGCCACCGCGTCGACACCATGCGGCACGCAGGGAGGTCGTCGAGCGGCACGCGCGTGAGGAGCTCGAACACCTGGTCCTCGGGTAGGCCACCGCCGCCGCCGTTCTCCTCGGCGTCGCTGTGGCTCCGTTCCTCCTCCGGCGCCGACAACGGCGACGACGCCATTGCCGCTTGCGCTAACTGCTGTGTTGACTAGTAGTAAGAGGTAGTAACAAAAACGACCAGCTATATATGTAGCTATATATAGGAAATCTGCTCAGGAAGACAGGAACGACGACCGAACGATGTGGATCACATGATTCACAGCAACAACTCGTCGTCGCTAACCTCGGTCGTCGTATGTGCTATATATATGGTGACTGGTGAGAAAGATCCATGGTGGACCGTCCGTCCATCCGTCCTTGAGATCGACCTGGACGACAGCCCATCCATTAATGCGAATTACACGTTTTTACACCGCCGCCGCCGGCCGAAGAAGTTGCCATATTTAACATCCTGCACGCACGTTTATACTGCATGCTGACATCTCGTGTTTCCGTAGCAGCCAAGCATATATAGTAGACGAGATCAGGTGTTTGTTTCATTCCATGCAAGGAAAAGCCAGGCCTTGTTTAGTTCCCTTCAAAATTCCAAGTTTTTTCACTCTCTCTCCATCACATCAATTTTTAGCCGCTTGTATGGAGTATTAAATATAGGTAAAAAAAAACTAATTACACAGTTTAGTTGGAAATCACGAGATGAATCTTTTGAGCCTAGTTGATCCACGATTGGATAATATTTACCAAATAAGACGAAAGTGGTATTATTCATCAGGTTGAAAAAACTTTCAATCTAAACATGCCCCCATCTATCGTTGGGGATTGCACAATGGCTAGCTATACGTAGTACAGCTACAGGTCGAGTAACCTGCCTGACTGCAGGAGCACAAAGCTACTCCTCCTACGTATGTGCTAGGAGTAGTAGGACCAATGCAATTCGCAGCTCACAAGTCACAGGCTCACAGCTAGGAGCAGGACTGGAGTACTATGCAAGAAACCTTCAGCCCTTGTTTAGTTAGCAAAATATTTCAAAATGTACTGTTGATAGGAAGTAGCCCAAAATATGAGCAATAGAACTTTTCAGGGGGTGTTTAGTTCCCAAAATCTGAAAACCTACTGTACACCATTTAATGAACTACATGCAGCTTATTAATGGCATGCATGCATGAACTTGAATGCAACTAAGCAAGGTTTTACATCCACCCAGCCATTGTCAACAAATGCATGTCATTGCTGGGGTCATGAAGCATCATCAACAGCACAGCAATGAACAGAAACCAACAATTATTGGTAAACAAATGAAATGGCACAGGCTAATGCCGGCACATAGTTACACAGTCAAATAATTACATTGTTTGTCGGACAAAAAAATACAATTACAGCCAAATAAATTAACAGTTACACAGTCGCCTCAAAAAGACGACCAAATCATGTTCGATTAGCCAAACCGATTGCGATGGATTCCCGAAATGCATTCATAAGCTCCGAATCAGAACAACCGCTTGGAGGAATAGTTTCGGGCTGATCGGCACCGGCTTCTGCCGGCACATAGTTGTCATCCCGGTCACACCGAGCAAAGTGCCGATCACCTATGCCACTCACCCTTATGAAGTTATGCAGGGCACAACATGCAACAATGATTTGACTTTGTATATGGGGGGCATAACTAGGGACTTCTTTCATCATCCGCCACTTCATTTTCAACACTCCAAATGACCTTTCTATGACATTCCTAAGTGACGAATGTGCATAATTGAAGATCTCAGTTTTACCTTGTGGTTCTGGTGCCTCTCGGTACTCTCACAGGTGGTACTTTGTTCTCTTATGCACGGTGCAAGATAACCTGGTCGGTTAGCGTACCCCGAGTCCACAAGGTAATATTTGCCTATAACATTGAAACAACAGTTAGTATCACGAACTTGTACTCGCATGCACAAAAGTATAACCAACTAATTGTATACCTGTTGGTGGATGTGGAAACACGTTGCTGTATGTTGTTGTCGCATCAGTGAAGACCCTCATGTCATGTACTGAACCCGGCTAGCCAGCTAACACGAATGTAAACCGCATGTCGAAGTCACACACAGCCAAGACATTCTGTGTTGTCATCCCCTTGCATGCACAAAAGTCTTTGCACAAACTTATCACTAGGCACCACACAGGGGACATGAGTCCCATCTATCGCCCCTATGCAGTCCTTGAAGTAGGGATAGAACCTAGGATTTCTTAGCCTATCATGCATAGTGCTGAAATTTGGGTCATTAGGCCTAATGATGTCAGCAGCAAGCTTGACAACAGACTTCAACACCCTATGAAACATGCTATGCACAGTCCCCAGTGACCTCTCAAACCTGTCCTCCGCTTGCCTAACAGATTGTGGAGCTCCCACCATCCACAGAAACATCCCAAGGGCTTCAATAGATGCGGATTTGCTATTAGATTTCAGCCCATATGATTCTACCAACACATCATGCAGACTGTGGAACATATCAGGGCTCATTCTGAACATGTTATAACAGGCCTTCCTATTTCCTAGTTTACTATGTACCCATTCCAAACCACTAATGACTGGCTGTCTATACTCTGACCTTGACAAGTGCTTGTCAATGTGGTAGGCGTACTGGTACATACCGTACAGGAAAGCATCGTCATCATCCTCCGCCTCCATCCAGTCACTGATGAACTCGTCCAAATCATTCTCATAACAATCTTGCCTCCAGGACATCATCCCAGTCACTATTGCTTGGACATCCTCCTGTCAAAACGAAAACAGTTCACGTCAGTTTTCAACATCAACTAGGCAACATTAGCATGCATCCCTATTCAAACTGACTCATGCCAGTTACTCAAACTCATGCACTACATACATCAACAGATCATAGCCATATCCAATCATACTACAAATAACCAGTTCAAGTGTTCGACATGACATACTTAGGTCAATGACCAAAGACACCCACCACACCTCACATAGTTCTAATGACATAACTTAGTAACTACGTAGAAAGCTTAACAAAATAAGGTCTAGGGGAGGACCCCGATGTATTGCTTAATCGTCAGCATCCTTCCTTGGGGCGAGGAGCTTATGAAGAAGTTCATAACAGGCTCACTCTGCACGATCTTGAGCACGGCCATCCACTTAGCTGGGGTCTCTTCAGTTGCACCACACTGTCTTGCCAATTGTAGCACTAGTTCCACCTTCCTCTCCAGCGCCTTGCTGTTGTCCTCAATTTTTTGGTTCCTCTCTTGCCACATTGCTGTCATCCTCTCAAGCCTCTGCCTTGAAATCTCATTGTGTTCCTTCATGTGAGCATCCATGGTCCTGACAGCGGGGCTCTTGGACCGCTTGCTCGGGCTGGAGGCAGTTGTGCTGGTGCTGCTTGCCCTCTTAGTACCGACACTAAGCGGCGTAAGTTGGTCGTCGTGCTCATCATTGGAGTCGTCATCCGAACTTTCACCGTCAACTGTATTGCTTTGGGAAGGACAGAACGACGTTGAGCCATCAACAGCGTTGCCGGCGAACATCCGGTCCAAATCGTCCAAGTACGGAGGCCACCCGTCCTTGAGCTTCTTCCACTCCGGGTGTCCCTAGAAAACCGGCATAGGTGAATCATTGTATAGTAACATTTTAACAGTACATGATTGAACATAAGATTGGTTACATACCACCGTACGAGAGTCCCACCAAGCATCAGTAGCAAGGATGGAGCCATCGTCTCGCCTGCCTAAGCCAGTGCCTTTCCGGAGGTCGTTGATAAAATTCCACAAATGCTTGAGCTGGCGTAACTTACTCTTGAACTGGTCCTTGTCATGAACCAAGGTTGTTGCTGCATAGTACCTTGCAATCAGATCTCTCCACCCCGACTTGTTCATGCAGCCGCGGATACAGTTGCCACTGTCAATTTGGTGGCACCAGATTTGGCAAAACTTGCTTATATTGGGCTCTGACCAGTTCCCCCTGTCGTTCCTAGCCTAAACGATTTCATAAGAAATAATTTCACACCGACGAACAGGCTAAGTTGGGGAGAACAGCAAATGCTTCGAACACAATAGTATACATGAGCAATGGAAGATAGACGATGGGTGAGGAAAACTACCGGGATGTGACCCATGGGGGTAGCATGCATCGGGTTGACGATGTCGTCGTCCACCTATGGGACAGCCCCGCGACGGCGGCGACGCCGGCCCCTTCCTCCACCGTCGACGGCTGAGGCAGAGGCGCGACCACGATGGCCGCGTGGCACTCGGTCGCCTCCGACAGCTTCTGATGTGGCGCGGCCTCCCGTGCCGTCGCCGCCTCCTCCAAAGCGGGCGCTGGGAGCCTGCTCGTAGGTGAGGTTCCGCCGCCGAGGAACACGAACGGGAGGTGGCCCCATCTGGCTACCAGCAGGGTCTGACCGAGGGTCGGCGTCGTAGCCGTCCATGGCAGCCCATCCCCCACCGTCATTGAGGTCCAGGGAATCCAGGCCCCAGCGGGGAGGGTTGACGCCGCTGGACCCCGTGAAGGGTGGCGCCGGGTCGGTGAAGCCCTCGTACACCGACGAACCCAAAAGCGGGTTCGCCCCCCGCAGGAAGTTCCGCGTGCCGTCGTTGCTGCCGGAGTCGCCGTCGAAGTTCGCGCTACCGCCTCCATTGTAGCCGTCATCAGGGAAGCCGTCCATCTAGGATGCCGCGGCCGTGCAGCGACTGGATCCGGCCACGCCTCTCGTAGATCTACCGGCCGGGGTGGTGGATCTAGGCGGGCGCGTGCGCTACCTTCGGCGGCGAGCGGCGGGACCGCCGAGGCGAGATGCGTGCGGGGGAGAGCGGGGCTAGGGTTGACCGTCCATCTAGGACGCGCCGTGGCGTCGGCAAATGATCGGATCCGCCACGCCTCTCGTGAATCTACCGGCGGGGTGGTGGATCTAGGCGGCGCGCGCGCTTCTTTCGGCGGCCGGCGGGACCGGACCGCCGAGGCGTCTGCGAGGGGAGAGCGGGGGCTAGGGTTGACGAATGTGGGAATGGAGGGTCGTGCTCGCGGACGCCAGTGTGCCACGCGGTTTCTTGGGCTGCCGCCGGGTCTCATGCCGAAAACGTCTGTGAGCCGCTTTTCACCCCCGCTTAGTTCGAACTCCAAAAATCGGCCCA